AAGCTTTAGCCTACTAAGGCTATATTTTGTTTCAGTTCATTTCCGAGACATGTTCCAGTTCACGGAGATCATGAAAGCGCGCCTGATTGTTTTCTTTTATTTTGCAAAAGAAGAACGTTTTCTTGTTATTGTGAGTTTACACAAATAAAAGTAGTTGCGGATTATGTATTATTATTTTCTGTATGACCATAAATGATAGAGTATTTTAAGTTTTTTCCACTGTTGACAGGAAAATGCAAGTGTTCGCGCCCGCGTCTCCGTCATCCAGTGCGCGCTCCACAAACCCTTGGATATACCTCAAAATCTTGTGTTTATTTGTGATAATCTTAGCCCTGTATTATTATTGTCTAACCTGTATTATGAATGACATTTGACGAATTGCTTTGTTCCTTTTTTTGGATAAAAGCGCCTTCTAAATATGTAGCCTAATAAATGTAGCCTAATAAATGTAATAGGCTATATAATAATTATTATTATTAGCGTTTATAACTATAAATGACTTCACTTAAGACAGTAATATGTTTATCATAAAATAATTGATGAATGTATTATTTTTATATAACCTTTTACAGTTTTGGAAAATGAGTTTGTGTTATATTTCTTTTTTTGTATGAGAAGTCTTTTTTTTTTGCTATTCTATTATAGCCTATGACCTTCAAAATGAAATGCAGAAATCAAATTTCGCAAAGTTGTAGGCCTATCTCAATTACGCCTATTTGATTTTCAATTAAATAAGCAATAGCTATATAAGGAAAATAAGTTTGTATGTGAATATTTTTTCACCAGTCTAAAAACTAATAAAGAAGAAAGCATCTTTTTAGTTTTTCATACGAGTTAAAGGAAAAACGAATGGACGCGGACCCCAAACACACGCCCATTCTAAGTCAGGTGACTGTAATTGCGCAAAAACTGTTTCCATTGAAGTTTTGCGAAATATTCCTTTTTCGAATTGCCTGAAAAACCACCTCATGCGAGCGTAAAAACTTTTTTTGCAATAAATGGGAGTTTTTGCGAAATTGACATGTTTCCATTGAGCGTATTTTTAATTCGCAATTTCAATTTGCGCAATTTGAAGGGTAATGGAAACGCGGCTACTGACAGGAACGGGGCCCAGGCAAAGTGCACCCAGCAAACACATTTACGTTGCGGCAATGCCTGTGGCACGTTGCATTTCTGCTATGGCAACGTCGCTGTCTACGTGCTCGCAACATTGTAACAACGTAGAATTGAAAGACTCAACAGGGCTGTAGCAACGCTGTTGCAAGACATTCAGCAACTGAGAGACGACTTTCTGACAATTAGCCTACATTTTTTAGTATGCTAGATATAGATATCCCCATTTAGCAAGTTATGTTTTTGAGGTTAATTTTTAATTAGTCATAATATAATTATATACTTTTAAAATATTGTTGGCTATTTTATTTACCATATAAGATTACTTGGCTCAACAAGTGACACATTATTACATATGCATTCATCAAATATTTTAAGTTTTTTTTTAACGGTTTTAATTTTAAAATGACTTGGTAGCAGAGGGCCCCATGATGAAGCTCCGCCCCCACTGTACTGGGAGTCTAGCTCCGCCCCTGGTTGGGGGTCATCACCACTTTTAAGAGCTACAACATCTGATATTACAGAGAATATACGTTTAACTCACTCGAGTTACTTTGAGTTCTGTGGCTTCTAATATGAACAGCCATAACTAAAAATAGTCACCATCTCTACCCACCCAAACCGTGAGATGCAGTGACCTATATTTTCAAGTGTGTAAATAACGTTCACGTGACCATGATTCTGTTTGAATATCCTGATAATTTTCTGAGATACTCTTGCTTTTCTTAGTTGAAACCTTTTAGTTTATCCTCTTAACCGTCTCCAGAGCGTCGGCGCACTGAAGCGTTTTTTTATTTATTTAGTTCAAATATACTATCAGATTTAATGTTATACCTTGACAAACTATACATCATTAAAAAGATATAAGACTCAAGATTCAGTATTTGACCACTATTGTATTCTGAGAAACTTATAGTGACAGTTATGTCTTAATTTGTGTCAGGAGTTATGAAATTAAAAAATGAGTCGTTACCTTTAATATGAATTATGAGCCTCAGCCGGTCTCATTCAGAAAAAAACTCCCGTGCGATCGTCATGACAGCGCTTGACAAAACAACGTCCCTCAGGGCTTTTAGCTCAAACATGTGCAGATTTGGAGAAATATTGATAGATTCTCATAGCTTTACATTAGACTTCTATAGACAGGAATAATATTTATTGAATTTATACCCAAATGCGTCGATGTAATCATTTTGAGCGCTGTATACTCTGTACTGTGTTATCAATTCATCCTGAAAGTGAGGGCGCTGTTTGAACAGAAGTCCATAATATATGGATCACATGAAGAAGAGCCATAATCATGTGACATTCAGGAAGTCCTGCCACAACAAAGCTATCCGAGATCGCTGTAAAGTGCAGATAAAGATGTTTTGAAGACAATAAACATGATTGCAATGATATTTGATTTACCTGTGTTCTTCGAGTCATGTCAGGTATTTTCATAATAATTGATTATATGTATAATGTAATGCTAATCGAGATAGACTTTCAAATTGTGCAGAATACAATAAAATAATATATTTTCTATCTGATTTTTTTATCTGAAGCCAAATCAGATTACAGAAAGTTATTTAAAACACTCGACTTGCGCTATAAAGTAAGTTTGGAGAACAAACATAGTTTTATTCTCATAAATTGTCGTGTATTGATGGTGTGCTAAGCTAACATGCTAGCTAGTACTGAGCACCTGCTACCTTACTTCGGTGTAATTTTTATGATTTTTTTCTAAATAAGAATGCTTACTGAAATGTTTCGTTTTTCAAAAAGGGCATTTGATACAGTTTCACTGTGAAGTGAGAACTTTTATAAAATAAATGAGGGATTGAAACAGTGTGAATTGCTAGTCGTTAGTGATTATAATGCAGACAAAAGAAAAGCATATTTAGAGCAATAAACTGGCTGGAGAGGTGTGAATATGTGCAGGGGAGACTGAGACTGAATGGGGCTCGTTTTTGCATCACAAAACAATAGAGGCAATAGACTGAATAGATGCTTATAAGAAAACAATAAACACCAGTCTAATCAAAATAAAGTCATATGACATGATCTTGAAAAACATTGAACTAAATACAGAGTTTTAGACTTATCATCTTCAAATTTTAAATATAACATGGCCAGACATGTGGCTTTAGCTGCAGTGCATTTCTAGATTGCTACAATGCCAACTTCAATTTTATTTTCATGAAGATGTTTCATAAAAATAAATGTATAATAACTTTACAAAACTTTGAAGCTATTTATAACTATTTTTTTCATTATGATAATAATTAATTCTACATTTACAATAAACTTCCAGGTGTCAGCTTTCAAATGAGATCTTACTTGTGCTTTTAGTACAAAGGGTTCATGAACTGTATCTGTTTCAGTTTGGGAATGCCATATCTGGGGATTTTTCAAAAATGGGCTTGAAGCTTAACAGGTTAAACAATGTATAAACAACGTGTTAGGGATAACTCTCTTTAGATTTTTATTCTTACCTTGTTTCAAACCCCAACATTTTGACAGAGCATCTAATTAAAGATCCACATCCAAAAGACATTTACATTTTCATTAATCTTCATAAGAATTCAATAAAGATGAGATGAGATAAAACATTCCTCTTGACTTAACCTTTTTTTATTATTAAGATTGTGGAAATCGGTTGCATTCACAAACAAAAGTTCGGAAGCTTTCTCTGCCCATGCTGTAGTTGAAAGTCTGAAGAAAAATTATTGTATACTAATAATACTAATCATGTGCACAGGTACATCGTGTGTACCATAAAAACCTGAGTGATCACATTTTATCCATCTGATTTCATGCACAGCATACATACATGGTCATATACATTTATCTAAGAATACATATGGGTTTGATATGATTTGCAAAGTGAAGTAAACAATGAAGTATTTGTTAAACTGATGTGCATATGATATGCTTTTTATTCCCCATATTACAAAGTGGCATGCATTACATTAATATGGGTAATATACTGTAAACCAACTAATGTTTTCCCACCCGTTTACAAATTGATCCGATCAGAATCTAGATCAGAATTCCATTTCATCCAGAACTGGTTCTAAAATTGGCACCGGAACTTAGAACCACAACATTCCACATGCTGCATTTATAGAACAAAACTAAAGTATTTCAGGTTTTAGTTGAATTCAAATATTCAGTGATTTGTGCATTAAATTCTAGCTAAACAAAACCTCAGTATATATATATATTCATTTAGTACCTTTAAGGTTATTTTAATGACAATTACCCCTCCTAATTCTCACTATACACACAAACATCAAGTTATTATATTATATAGAATTTTAATGATAAAGCACTGTATTACAGTTTATTGCTTTACAATAATCAGAATCAGGAGGAAAATGTTTTAATTGTCATGGAAATAATGTCACAATGACAAATCATAACGATCCTTTTTTAGCTGCTATTATAGTTTTTAATATTTTGAATTAATTTTGTTTGCATTTTTATGTTTCCATTTTAATTGTAGTTAATGTTTTAGTAATTTTGTCATTTTTATTAGTTTATTTTAAATATGACTGTATAGTTTTTATACTTTTTTTTGTTTTAGTTTAAGTAAAACTAAATAAAAATGATAAATGTTGCTTTGACAGCTAACTGAAATAAAATAAATGTAAGTTTTTATTTGATTTCAATTAACAATTTTTTTGAAATGGTTTTAGTTTAGCCTTAAAATAGGCTTAATTTTCTCTTTGCAAGATATCATTTTTTTCACTTTTGAATTTTGAGGTGAACTATGACACGGAACAAAAATATGTTTTAGTCTCTTTTTTAAACCTTTAAATAAATCCTTACTGATCTAAAATCGAGTTTTGTGACCTTGACTAACGCATGGACCCGAACAAAAGACACATGCAAACATTCCAGACGAAGCAAACCTGAATTTCATACAATCAGACCTCTTCAGCAGTTTGTAAAAGAACTGTAGAAACAGGCATGGCATCTTTAGATTTAGAGCAAGTATAAAGGACTCATTCATTCACTTCTAGAAAAATTCCAGTTAACAAAGCACTCGATTAATCAAACTCTTTGGAAAAACTGCCTAACGTGTTGCATATCAGCATAACAGTTCAAATCCCAAAAATAAGTGTAGCATCCAAACAGTTCATCTACAGCAACAGCCCTAGAGCTGACATGTGATGTCGACAAAATGCATATTGTGAAAAACTCTTCTCTGTGTTCTTCCTACCATGCAGTCTTCAGGAACAGCGAACTGGATCTTTAGAGGACGTTAACTCTTTGTTGCGCGCAGCTTGCGGCGGAAATACTCGGGCGCCGCTTCATGCAGCCAATCAGAATCGACCAGGCACAGATCCCTCATGTAGCAGCGAGACGTGTGCAGGAGCTCGTTGAACACCACGTATGCCGGCTTGGCCTGGAACAGGACCGATGAGGGGTGGATGGACACCGTCTGATGGGTGTCCAGAGCCACGTAGCTGCCGTCCAGATGCAGTTCTGCAGCGTTCATGAACAAACCGTGAGCTAGACAGCGCCGCACGTTAGCCAGGTCTGATAGAGACGATTCCAGCTTCATGTTCAACTGAAGAACAGAAGATCACAGGGACTTATTACATGGAGAGAGACAGAGAGAGAGAGAGAGATAGATAGATAAAACGAGATAGAGAGAGATAGATAGATAGATAGATAGATAGATAGATAGATAGATAGATAGATAGATAGATAGACGGATAGATGGATAGATGGATAGATGGATAGATAGATAGATAGATAAATTGGTTGGTGGACAGAGAGACGGACGGACGGATTAGTTGGTTGGTTGATGGACAGATAGACAGATAGATAGATAGATGGATAGATGGATGGATGGATAGATAAATTGGTTGATGGACAGACAGACAGACAGACAGACAGATAGATACATAGATAGATAGATAGATAGATAGATAGATAGATAGATAGATAGATAGATAGATAGATAGATAGATAGATAGATAGATAGATAGATAGATAGATAGATTTCAACTCGTCCATCAGTTCAAACAAACAAATGTCAGATTTGCTCTAGTGCACTTCAAATGGACATCTATTAGACAAGTGCAGTGTTAGGATTGTCCTTCAAATATTAAATACAAGTACTTACACACTACTAAAGTACACAATTAAAATGATTTTCGTGGGTAATCAATATCATGTCACAGATGCTGTACATAGAGCTGAACTAAACCCAAAACAATTCAATTTGTTACGTGCAAAACTTTACTTTCTTACAATATCTAACTGGCATTTGTTACAAGCCCTGGTTGATTAAAGGAGGTCTAACCTTAATTATTAAAATAGATTTGATGTGCAGTGCAAACAACAATTAAAAACGCAAAACAAGAGGTTTAGTTCAGTGATGACTGAAAAAGTCACTAATATTGTATTGTATTTACTTTAATGCATTAGGCAAGGCAAGGCAAGTTTATTTATATAGCACATTTCATACACAATGGTAATTCAAAGTGCTTTACATAGAAGAAATTAAAATAATCAAATGAAATAAGAATAATTATTATAAATAAGAAGAAATAAGAATAATATAAACAGTTTAGAATAAAAAATAAAATAAAATACAGTACAAAAAGTCGGACGAAACGGACTTCGGACATTATTATTATTCACTCGTCCATTTGCCCCGTCGTCGACACACTCAAGCACGTGGAGTCAGTCAGAAACTGAACACACATCTGCATATGCAAATGTATTTGCCCATGTGACGCCACAGATCCCGCAATATCCACACGAGCCGCTTTTTGGAGCTTGATTACATAAATGCTTTGTTTATAACGAGGAAACCGTTTCAAGATATGAACCTTGAAGGGTGTTTTAATGGTACAAAGACCTCTTATATGAGAAGACCCCTAAAGCGAACACATTCTCAAAGTAACGTCTGCATGTGGTTTTGCTCACTGCATGTGTGTGTGTGTGTGTGTGTCATATCTGTACCTTGATGCAGATGTCTCTCAGCTGCGAACGGACCTCCAGCACCAGCCCCATGTTCCTGCTGTTCACGAAGTTCTCTCGACACCACTCCTGTTGTAAAGCATGCAAATAAACACAACATCAAGATATTTCCTGACGCAGATGCAAACTCACATGCAATGCTATTTATTAAGATCAATACAAATTCAAGACATAATACCTAAATTTACAAAAACTATCCCGTTTATACATTTATATAACCTTTGAGTGAAATGTATACCCTAATTATCGGCTCTTAATGCATTGTGTTTCGTTCTTACAAATGAGGAACATACTGTACCTGCAATGTGTATAAAGTAGGGGTGTAACAATATATGTATCGCATTCGCAATACAAAAATGCAACAATATGTATCGTGGATAGTGACAATATATATTGTGTATAGTTCACCCAAAATAAAAATTACTGTGTGAGACAAAATTCAAGTTTTCAGAGTTTTAGAGTCAGTACTACATTAACCCCTTAGCTGTCACCCCCCTTTTTGAGAATGGGGGTTAAAATGCACTATTCAAACTTAAATGATTGTTATTCAAGAATGCTTTGGAATATAGACCTAAGTTTGGTCTTGTTTTAAAGGAAACACTCAGCAGATTATTGCTGAAGTGAAAACACTTCAAAAAATGAAAGTATTTAGTTTAAATTTAAGTAAATCAAATATACTGTACTATATATTTTTGATTTTATATAAAATATATATTTTACAAAATATTTTTTACTATAAAATTACTATAAAATAAAAGCCATATATCTAACCAAGTTATGTTCCAAATTCGAAGTTGATATCACAAGAATTGAAGTTCCCATGAGATTTTGTTTAGGCGTAGTACCAAAAATAGCCACCGGGTGACATACATTCCATTGAATTTAGTTGTATACATTCTGCCTTAACAAATTAATACATTTCTGTCCAAATATCAATTCTGTCACAAATTTTGGAACCTTGAGACTAAGACCTTTCTGACAATATGTGTTTTGTCAAGATTAGAAAAGGTTTTGATCATAAATTATGAAATATAATGATGCCCAAAAGGAGCCTGATAAAATATTTTAGAGTACCGTTTCTATGGTAACGCAACGTTCAATTTCAAAACTGTTTTCACAGGATGAATTCTGAGTTTGTAAGCTTTCAAATGATACCTAATTTATGATAACTACTAAAATATGTGATATAATAAAAAAGGCGATAAAAAAGATAATATTATATTTTAGAGGATAATATACATATTATACTTTTTAGAGGATAATATTCTATTATAATTTTTTATTCAAAAATACTAGATTATATGTTTTATTATGAACTTTTAGCATGAAAACCAAAGTTTCAATTATTAAAGGTGTGTGCGTCAACTTTTTGTGACAAAGGTCAGAACTCCTCTTATGATGCAGATTTTTTTGAGGTGCACTCTTGTCAAAAAATCATCGGTTACTCTTCCTACATAATTTGTAGCAAAAGACAGCAGTCAAATATCTATTTAGCAGTCTTCGACCTTTCAAACGATATATAGTTTGTCATAATTAGATTAGGATTTAATAGTAATATAGCGAAGTAAAGTTAGATATCCCGTATACGGGATGGTGACAGTTAAGGGGTACTACTATATATAATGTTGAATATAATGTATAATAATGCAAGGGGGGAATATTTGTGGGTTCTGATAATGCCAAAATGTCTTTTGTTACAGTATTTTTTTTTTTTAAATATATCTAGTCAGTGACAGAGATCAAGCATATTCGTCTAAAATAATTCAGAATCATGAATATTGTTATTCTGGTGTTTCTATTGTCCTGTGCTTTGGGTTTCCAGCACAGAGTCCAAGCCGATTCATTTACACACACAATGTAAAATCAAATTTAGCATTTTAATTTTAAAACTTTTACCATATGTCTTGGAGTATCGCAATAATATCGTATCTAGAGTTCAGTATCGTTATATGTGTATCGTTACATCTCTAGTATAAAGGAAACGTATGCCTGAGGACATTGCCAAGTGAACGGATTGGCCAGAAAGTGACTTTTGGGACTTTCGTTTCTGTACCTTGTTACCGCTGACTTTCCTAAAGGCCCTGTAGATGTTGAGGAGCGTCATGTGGTCGCCCTCGCTGGAGATGAACTTCTTGCGGACGGCGAGGACGTCTTCTCTGCGGGCGGGGGGGTTGTAGAGGACCGAGTCGACGGAGAGGAGCGAGATGATGGTCAGAACCTCCTCAGTGCAGCAGAACTCAGGCGAGATCAGGAGCGTCTGTGCACACCGAGAACAATATACAGTATATAAGTATGTCTGTATATATGGATGTTTATACATTTACATTTAGATGTGTGTTTTCCACACAACATTGTATCTCGTTTGAATTGTGCCCTGAATTACACATGTCAATTTAAAAGATACATTTTGATGTAAAACTGTTGAGGTATAAGACTGTGAAAATACGTAATTACAAAGACTACAAACCCCAAAGGCGCACATTTTCTCTCAATGAATGAAGCTAACTTTACTGAAGCTAACTTTACTGAAGCTAACTTTACTGAAGCTAACCTTACTGAAGCTAACCTTACTGAAGCTAACTTTACTGAAGCTAACCTTACTGAAGCTAACTTTACTGAAGCTAACTTTACTGAAGCTAACTTTTCTGAAGCTAACTTTACTGAAGCTAACTTTACTGAAGCCAACTTTACTGAAGCTAACGTTACTGATGCTAACTTTACTGAAGCTAACTACGTAACTACTTTACTGAAGCTAACTTTACTGAAGCTAACCTTACTGAAGCCAACTTTACTGAAGCTAACTTTACTGAAGCTAACTTTACTGATGCTAACTTTACTGAAGTTAACTTTACTGACGCCAACTTAACTGAAGCCAACTTTACTGAAGCTAACCTTACTTAAGCCAACTTTACTGAAGCTAACTTTACTGAAGCCAACTTTACTGAAGCTAACTTTTCTGAAGCTAACTTTACTGAAGCCAACTTTACTGAAGCTAACGTTACTGAAGCTAACCTTACTGAAGCCAACTTTACTGAAGCTAACCTTACTGAAGCCAACTTTACTGAAGCCAACTTTACTGAAGCTAACTTTACTGAAGCTAACTTTACTGAAGCTAACCTTACTGAAGCTAACCTTACTGAAGCTAACTTTACTGAAGCTAACTTTACTGAAGCTAATTTTACTGAAGCTAGCTTTACTGAAGCTAACCTTACTGAAGCTAACCTTACTGAAGCTAACCTTACTGAAGCTAACTTTACTGAAGCTAACTTTACTGATGCTAACTTTACTGAAGCTAACTTTACTGAAGCTAACCTTACTGAAGCCAACTTTACTGAAGCTAACCTTACTGAAGCCAACTTTACTGAAGCTAACTTTACTGAAGCTAACTTAACTGAAGCCAACTTTACTGAAGCTAACTTTACTGAAGCTAACCTTACTGAAGCTAACTTTACTGAAGCTAACTTTACTGAAGCTAGCTTTACTGAAGCTAACCTTACTGAAGCTAACTTTACTGAAGCTAACTTTACTGAAGCTAACCTTACTGAAGCCAACTTTACTGAAGCTAACTTTACTGAAGCTAACTTTACTGAAGCTATAACTTTACTGAAGCTAACTTTACTGAAGCTAACTTTACTGAAGCTAACCTTACTGAAGCCAACTTTACTGAAGCTAACTTTACTGAAGCTAACTTTACTGATGCTAACTTTACTGAAGTTAACTTTACTGACGCCAACTTAACTGAAGCCAACTTTACTGAAGCTAACCTTACTTAAGCCAACTTTACTGAAGCTAACTTTACTGAAGCCAACTTTACTGAAGCTAACTTTTCTGAAGCTAACTTTACTGAAGCCAACTTTACTGAAGCTAACGTTACTGAAGCTAACCTTACTGAAGCCAACTTTACTGAAGCTAACCTTACTGAAGCCAACTTTACTGAAGCCAACTTTACTGAAGCTAACTTTACTGAAGCTAACTTTACTGAAGCTAACCTTACTGAAGCTAACCTTACTGAAGCTAACTTTACTGAAGCTAACTTTACTGAAGCTAATTTTACTGAAGCTAGCTTTACTGAAGCTAACCTTACTGAAGCTAACCTTACTGAAGCTAACCTTACTGAAGCTAACTTTACTGAAGCTAACTTTACTGATGCTAACTTTACTGAAGCTAACTTTACTGAAGCTAACCTTACTGAAGCCAACTTTACTGAAGCTAACCTTACTGAAGCCAACTTTACTGAAGCTAACTTTACTGAAGCTAACTTAACTGAAGCCAACTTTACTGAAGCTAACTTTACTGAAGCTAACCTTACTGAAGCTAACTTTACTGAAGCTAACTTTACTGAAGCTAGCTTTACTGAAGCTAACCTTACTGAAGCTAACTTTACTGAAGCTAACTTTACTGAAGCTAACCTTACTGAAGCCAACTTTACTGAAGCTAACTTTACTGAAGCTAACTTTACTGAAGCTATAACTTTACTGAAGCTAACTTTACTGAAGCTAACTTTACTGAAGCTAACTTTACTGAAGCTAACTTTACTGAAGCTAACTTTACTGAAGCTAACTTTACTGAAGCTAACTTTACTGAAGCTAACTTTACTGAAGCTAACTTTACTGAAGCTAACTTTACTGAAGCTAACTTTACTGAAGCTAACTTTACTGAAGCTAACGTCTGTCATTGTTTCTATAGTCTTATGCTATAATCGTAACGTTACGCCGTCATGCCTGAGTGTTTTGTACCAGACTGCACACACACGAGCAGCGGATCTCGCTCGTTGTTTCGCTTCCCGGGAGATGTAGTTCATTGAGCGATTTTCACATAAAACTAAATGCTACTCTTCTGTTTTATGACAAACTGCGACTTTCTTGACTTTCAGAATTATCTTTTAAATTGACAAACATCATATGTGTAATTCAGGGCACAGTTCAGACGGAATAAAAAGATAAGTTGTCTCTCGCCATTGACTACCATACATGTTCTTTCCGAAATAAGGTCCAATGAGCCGGAAGCGGAGGGGAGGGGCTTAGGCTCTCTGCATCTTTCAAGTGATGCTATTTTTATATTTAATGCATTATCAAATCAAATTTTTTTTTTTTTTACTATATAGACAAAAAAAAAAGACAAAAAAAATCACTTTGCCTAAAAATCACTAACCCTAACCCTGACCAAATAACAAGTGATGGTGTATTTCTTACTTTGGAGAAGCGAGGCTCTAGAGGGAAACAGGCCATCTTCTTGCCCAGGGGTGTTAATGTCACCTGGTCATCTTTCCTCTCGACGGCCCCGAGGATACTGAGCTGATCCACAGCCGTCCGCATCGACTCTGCACACATGCACGGGGAAAACTTCTTTAACATTACAAATTGCACATGAAAGCTGATTGTATTATTAAAGCAACCATTGCATCCCATCATCGTTATTAGTGAACATAACTATTAATTATTGAACATTTGTGTCGTTTTGTTGTTGTTGTTGTTGCTGTTTTTATTATAGCAACAACCTGGGGAAGGTCATATATTACAGCAGACTAGGGTTATGAGTTGAGGAAAAGCTAAAAATGTTTATATATATATATATATATATATATATATATATATATATATATATATATATATATATATATAAAATTGTAAAATAAAACCATAAAAAAAAATATATATATATTTTATTTGTTTACTAAAAATCACTAACGGAAATCAGAGAACTGTGAACATGTAAATGTTTTGATAAATCATTGAAATATTAACTTAAAATCTCAATACGGTTCGGCTGACAAAAAAGTTTGGGATTTTACGACATTGCAAAAAAACAAATGGTGTTCTTGGCACGAATTTTTGTTTTGTTTTCCAGTACATGACATTACATTAAGAATAAGATATGTTTACTTGAGAAGCAAATTCCTTAAGATATTAAGTCTTGTTTTCTAAAACATTGATCAAAATGAAGTGAGTTTATGCTTAAACTGGAACAAATATTTTTTTTTTATCTCATTGGCAGATTTATTTTTTCCTATTTTAAACTCAAACTCACTTCATTCTGATCAATGTTTCAGAAAACAAGACTTAATATCTTAAGTAATTTTACTTCTCAAGTTAATGTATCTTGATTCAAGAATGTTTAGATATTTCTTCCAGAAACAAGATAAAGAAAATCATGATTGCAGTGTATGGTATAATATGTTGGAGAGTTCATACCAGGCGATGGTTTAGACATGAAGTCGAAGTTGAGAACATCAGGAACTCCCAGAGCGAGCAGTTGCAGAACGACACTGGCCAGATTACACCTACAGAGTCATTAATAGTCATTACTGAACACAGAACATATAAAGTACAGCTAACTTGTTTTAGTATGCAGCTACATTCACTCCGGACGCCGCATTCTTGCATTTAAAACGCCAACTTACCAACAGTGGTAACACTTTACTTGAAGGGGTGTGCATAAGACTGACATGACACCTTCATAATCATGACATGACACATGTTATGAATATGAAGGAGGTTTTATGCATGTTTATGACAACTGTCATTAAGTGTCTTTCACTCAATTATGACATTTTTAATGCAAATATGACATTGTTTAAGATGTCTTTGTTATGCAATCTTGACATAAACCAATACATCATAACCTGTCAGTGTCAACTTGAAATTAAATTAAGTTAAACTGTCATGTGGTTGGGTTTGACATTGGCTGTCATGAGGCATTATAACTGTGTCATGAATATTTTTCGTGACCTCAACTACAGTAGTACACATTGACCTTGTCATTAAACAGTTATAATGGCTTCATGACAGCCAATATCAAACCAACCACATGACAGTTTAATGTAGTGTTAACCCATAAAGCTAAGTGGTTTCTGAAGTTTAATAATTAATCTGCTATGTCATGTTTATGACAGGTTGTGCTGTCTTAGTAATGTCAAGTTGTCATGTCAAAGACACTGACAGGTTATGATGTATTGGTTTATGTCAAGGTGTCATAACAAAGACATCTCAAACAATGTCATATTTGCATTAAAAATGTCATAATTGAGCGAATGACACTTAATGACAGTTGTCATAAACATGCGTAAAACCTCCTTCATATTCATAACATGTGTCATGTCATGATTATGAAGGTGTCATGTCAGTCTTATGCACACCCCTTCAAGTAAAGTGTTACCTTTTAGATAAATAATATAGCATAATATATATATATATATATAATTTTTTTAGGAAAAGAAGTATAATTTAAGAAAATAAGTATCATTAAAGAAAATTAGCATATTTTTTCAAAGATAATAAGAATCTTTCTAAGAAAAAATCAAATACAAATAAGTATAGCTTTTTAGGAAAATTTGTATAACTAAAGGAAATAAGTATCTAAAAAAATAAGTGTAAAATAAGAAATTAAGGATCTTCTTTAAAGAAAATACCAAAAAAAAAATTCTAAGAAAAAAGTATAATTTTTAAATATATAATTATTATTTTTAATGAAAATAAGTTTTTTTTCCTAAATAAAAAAGTATAATTTAAAAAGTATACGTATAGATTTTGTTTTTTAGAAAAATAAGTATCATTTCAGAAAATAAGCATCTTGAAAGAAAATAAGTATTTTTTTTAAGAAAATAAGTATAATTAAAAAAAAAAGTTTTTTGTTTTTAAAAAAAATATGCATCATTGATTCTGACCATCCAGATGCTGAAAAACAGGGGAATGCAAATCACTAGACAAAGGCTTCAACCTGGTGCATGTGGACAGGTACCCAAAACTAATTTGCGAATGAAATGCAAGAACATGTCCTGTGTGAACGGCAATAAATATTGTCAGATAAAGTCTATTATATCACCACAACACAATTCCAGCACGTGATGCCAGGGGCCGGTTTCACAAAGCTATTTCACACCGGTTTATAGTGTTAGACAAGTCTAAAATTTGCTCATAGACTAGTCTAATGCAAATTAGACTGTTTCACAAAGATAAAGACTGACTTCATTTAGACTAAAAAAATTAGACACCCCAGGCTAACTCAGGTCTAAGACTCTGTTACCTTGGCAACCAGCAGCAACAATCAGTTACATTACAAACAGCCGAAAGAAAAGGGAAAATGGCCCTTACCATATATATTCATCACCATTTCAGTGTCTTTAAGTTTCTCTTGGGGTCCTCCTCCCGTTTTTGGATATTTCCTCTTAAATATTTTTTTTTGGCATCTTGTACCATGTTTTTGTATCTTTTCTGTACATCTTTGACGCTCACCGGTCGGATTAACGCTGTTAACTGGCGTAGCAATCTTTGTCCAGATTAAACATTTCTTCTTGTTACTACATTCTCCGCTAAATTTCCCAAGTAAAATGTCCTTGTGACTGTTACACTCCTCCAACACACACACACATCTCCCGCTGGGGTAAACTGCACCGAGCGGGTGAATGCGCTTACTCCATCCGCCATGTTTTTTGTTTTGAAAAGTGTCTTATTTTACCCAGAATGCATTGCAGTGTAGTCCTACTTAAGATAGTCAGAGTCTTAAGTGCTTTGTGCAACGGTCTGATTTAGATGTCTATCTGAAGTCTGACTCTCTACTATATCTAAGCCGTAGTCAAAGTCTATCTTTGTGAAACCGGCCCCTGGGCGTTATACCTCTGTATCTCAGGCACGGTCATGTTGGCGAGGTTGTCGAACTCGTCTTCAGTGTAGAGACGGTAGCATGACCCGGCCTCTTCTCTGCCGGCCCGACCGGCCCGCTGCCACGCCTGGGCTTTAGACACTCGCTGCACCGCCAGCACCTCCAGACCACTCTCTGATTCAGAACATTTCATGTATTATTGCATGTCTGATACACAGAAACACCAGGACATCTGCATCACTCCTAAACAGGAATGTCTAGGATTAAAGGGACGATTTTGTGCGCAAAAAAACACAAAAATAATGACTTTATTCAACTATTCATTTCCTTCTCTGTGGGCCTCGAGTGAGTTCACGTAGTGTAACAGCGCAGCGCTTCTGGGTTGTACGTCACACACATCACACACACACACACACACACACACACACACACACACGACCAGCGTCGGCCAATAGTGAGCCTGTGTGTGACGTACAACCCAGAAGCGCTGCGCTGTTACACTAGTGAACTCACTCGAGGCCCACAGAGAAGAAAACGAAGAGTTGAATAAAGTCGTTATTTTTGTGTGTTTTTTTGCGCACAGAAAGTATTCTCATCGCTTGATAAACTTAAGGTTGAGCCACTGTAGTCACTCGGACTATTTTAACGATGTCTTTAATAACTTTTCTGGGCCGGCCAGTTTCGATCCCTTAGAAGCCTATGGAGGAGTGATCCAGCTCTCAGATTTAATCAAAAATATCTTAATTTGTGTTCTGAAGATGAACGAAAGTCTTATGGGTTTGAACAACATGAGGGAGAGTAATTACTGACAGAGTTTACATTTTTGGGTGAACTATCCCTTCCTACTTGATCTTAGCGCCGCGTTCGACACTATAGATCATAAAATACTCTTGGATCGACTACAAAACTACACTGGTGTTCAGGGACAGGCATTAAGCTGGTTTAGATCGTACTTATCTGACCGTTATCATTTTGTCTCTTTACACGGGGGAAAATCAAAGTTAACGTCAGTAGACTACGGAGTACCGCAAGGATCGGTGCTAGGCCCTCTGCTATTCTCAATATATATGCTGCCACTTGGTAATATTATAAGAAAACATGGAATTAATTTCCACTGTTATGCTGACGACACTCAATTATATATTTCATCACGACCAGATGAAAACATTACCTCATCTAAATTGACAGAATGTCTCAAAGATATAAAATGCTGGATGACGCGTAATTTCCTGCTATTAAATTCAGATAAAACGGAGGTATTACTTATTGGTCCAAAAAACTACACACAAAACCTCTTACAATACGACTTTAATATAGAAGGATGCCCTGTTACTTTTTCCACTACAGTAAAAGACCTGGGTGTTATACTAGACCGCAACTTGTCTTTCGAAAATCATATTTCATCTGTTACAAGAACAGCCTTTTTCCACCTTAGAAACATTGCTAAATTACGTAACATGCTATCTGTTTCTGATGCAGAAAAGTTAGTTCATGCATTCATGACCTCGAGACTAGATTATTGTAATGCTTTATTAGCTGGTTGTCCTGCATCCTCAATAAACAAGCTACAGTTAGTGCAAAATGCAGCCGCTAGAGTTCTTACTAGATCAAGAAAATATGATCATATAACACCGATTTTATCATCTCTGCACTGGTTACCTATTAAGTTCCGTATCAATTACAAAGTACTAATACTGACCTATAAAGCCCTTAATGGTTTAGCTCCTATGTACTTAACGGACCTTCTTTCGCCCTACAATCCACCGCGTTCTCTAAGATCACTAAATTCAAGGCTTCTGGTCATTCCTAGGATATCGAAGTCCACGAAAGGAGGGAGGGCATTCTCGCATTTAGCTCCAAAACTCTGGAATAGCCTTCCCGATACGGTCCGATGCTCTGACTCGCTGACACAGTTTAAAACTAGACTAAAGACGTGTCTCTTTAGTCAAGCATTCACATAATGCTTACCTTTTAGTCCTCTGCTATGCCATACGGAACCGTTTGCCACTGAAACTGCTTAACGCACCAGTGGGGCTCGACAGCCTTATAGACAAACGGGTCGGTCCGTATGGTTGCGGAGAGTTTGGGTTACGGAGAGTTGTGAGATTATGGTTTTCTAACACCTACTCCCGTGTAATGGAAATCATTATGAACATCAGCTATGCTAATTATTTCCCATCTGCCTTTCTGCTGTTATCTCGGGACGCTTGTCCCGAGAAAAATGGCGTTCGTAGGCTCCAGTTTGGTATCCTGCCTCTCACGGGGATTTCGGATGCCTCAACGCCTGTGATGAGAAGACCAACGCCTGTGAAGAGACGACTCAACGCCTGCGAAGAGACGACTCAACGCCGGCGATATGTTATCCCCTAAATATTACATGATTAACTAAATGTATTTTTTCCAGGTACTCTCTGATATGGACTTACTGTAAAGCTTCTTTAAAACCCTATGATTGTTAGCCAGAGGAGAACTGGCCCCTGACTAGCCTGGGTTCTCCCAAGGTTTTTTTCTCCATCCAATCTGATGGAGTTTTGGTTCCTTGCCACTGTCGCCTTGCTTTTGGCTTGCTTAGTTGGGGATATTTAATATTCAACAATATTATTGAACTGTGTTGTACTACTTTCATGTTATCACTGTGAAGCTGCTTTGATGCAATCTGTATTGTGAAAAGCGCTATATAAATAAATGTGACTTGACTTTATGGTCGTTGCACACTGAGTCCGAATTTTTTTTCCGTATTCGTTATTCAGTGGCTCTGAATTGTCAAAGAACCTCTCAAAATGCTTGCTACAAATGTGAAAAACGCAGAAAATTGAACCCGATCTGAATTTTTTAATGACGGACGAAAGTTTCGAAGGCAGTGTGCAAACATGATTGACACAGAGAAAATTTGGGACTCGGTGTGCAAGCACTTGGAGAGGAGGCTTGAGAGTTTCACCTGGATTGTAGCGTTTGGCCTTCACCATCCCCGTGTCTATGACATATTTGATGCCGGAGATGGTGATGGACGTTTCTGCGATGTTTGTGGAGAGAATCACTTTCCTGGATCCCTGTAACGATCACAGAAAGGAGTGTGAGTGAGTGAGTGAGTGGAAGTGCTCGCTCAGCATCAGGTGTGTCGTGGCGTTTGGGGTCGTGACCTTTGGCGCGGGCTGAAAGACCCGGAGCTGTTGGGTGGGCGGCAGCGAGGCGTACAGCGGGACGACTGTCATCGGTGCACAGGTCTCAGGCAGGTGCTTCGATATGTCCCGACAGGTGCGCGCCAGCGCTTCAATCTCCTCCTGGCCCGTCATAAACACCAGGATATCATGGGACGGAGGAGCTTCCTTTAAGAAAATAAGTAACATTGAAAGACATAAAAATGTTGTTCTTTTTTTAAGAAATAAGTAGTTCATAATTTAGAAAAAAAGAAAATTTGAAAATACTTTAGATAAAACCTAGAAAATAAGTATACTTTTTTTTAAGACATAAATATTGTGTTATTTAAAAAAAAAACAAGTATAGTTTTCTTAAGACAATAAATATTGTTTTATCATAAAAAAGTATTATTTGTTAATGAAAAAAGTGTAATTTGTAAAGAAAATAAATATTTGATGATTTTTTAAAAAAAATAAGTATAATTTTTTAATAGAAAATAAATCGTTTTTTTTAAAGAAAATAAATATTTACCATTTTTAAGTAGTTTTTTTTAGAAAATAAGTATATTTTTTTAGAATAAATATAATTTATGGAAAATGTTTTTTTATTTTCTTAATTTTATTCTTAATTTTTTTAGAAAATATATACTGTTTTAACATTTTCTAAAGTAAAATAAATAAATATATATATATATTTTATTTTAAGAAATATATATATATATATATATATATATATATATATATATTTTTTTTATAAAGAAATTAAGTGTCATTTATTAAAGTTTTTTTTTAAATAAAATAAGTATTGTTTTATTTTTATTTTAAACAAAACAAGCACCATTTTCCAAGAAAATAAATATCCTTTTTTGCACTTCAAATGAAACCAAAAATCCAGAACTGTATTTTACTCACTAACCATTTGAAGAAGCTAAAAAATCTGCTGTGAACGCAAGCAATTCAGTGACAAGATGATAAGAGACACAAATCATACATTTGCCTCTTCTGTGTGTGTGTGTGTGTGTGTGGACTGACCTGGTGAATCTGAAATATAGTGACCAGCGCTGCCTGGAGATAGTCGGACTGAGGCTGTTTGGTGTAGTAGATCTGAATGGGATGCTGTCGGCCCTCCAGATACAGAACAGGTGATTTATTGAAGTACTGAGAGAACAGATCCACGTCCATGGTGGCAGACATCACAAACACCTGCAGATACACAGCCTTCATTCACTGACGCAGCAGAACAACAGAGCTGAAATGCTGAATAAATATGCTTAAAATAAACAATTCAGGACAATTCACACGGCAACACACACTTCGTCTGGTTTTGTCGGATCAGTGTGTTGCCACTAGTCTGTCGGAGCTTGTTTTCAGAATTAGAATGTCTGAGAAGTGTTTATAGACCAATCAAAATTTAGAATGCGTGATGTCATTACTGTCTGTTACTTTTTGAATGCTGAACATTCCATGAGAGCTTTTCAAATTTAAATCCAACATTCCGTTTGAAAAAAAAAGTCACTAGTTCATAAAAACATGGATGTTGAATGCAGTGTGGAGCGCGAGTCTTTTCTTCCACTTTAATACAAGTTATAAAACATGCATGAACATCAAAAGGTTTGTTGAAAGATACAGAATAACTTGAAATGTTTCATATCACATGTAATCGCTCAGTGTTTCAACCGCGGAAAGACGTCAATAAAACAGCTTGTGAACAATATGTCACTTAATGACAACCTCAGGAAGGCTATCCAATGTTCACAGTTCATTAGTAAGCTATAAATAAACACTTGAGAGGAGCTTATTTACTGGTAATTATATATGTATGTTAAATCAATTTGTCATGAATACAAGCGTTTATGAAAACTAGCTTATGTGTATCTGAAATATAATAGCAGGTGAATATAATAGTTTGGGCTCTGTTGTTAATCTTATCCTCTAATATTATATTACATTTACATTCAATCATTTAGCATTCGCTTTTATCCAAAGTGACTTACAAATGAGGAGAGCAATAGAAGGAGGTAAACTAACAATAGGACAAAAATATCGCCATATATGTTATTTTTTTTTATTTTTTTTAAAGAAAAGAAAGTGTTAGTATAAATGAATCAAGTGTTGCCGAAAATGATGAATGTACCAAATGAGAGGGTTTCCTGTATAGTTTACAGCATTAGTTTGGAGAGTTTTTTACTCAAAAACTATTTTAAAAAATCAAACTATCGGTATCGGGAGCAACTTGTCTTTCAGAATCCGTCCGATTCTCTCGTACCTTCAGAGGTATTTTGTTGTGTTCTGTGCGTTTGCGCTGGGCGGCCTTCACCACGCCGAACAGGACATCAGTGTGAACAGTGCGCTCGTGAGCCTCGTCCAGGATCACCACCGTGTAGCGCAGTAACAGCGGATCCCCGATCGCCTCTCGCAACAACATCCCGTCCGTCATGAACTTCAGCTTGGTCTCCGACGACGTGACGTCTTCAAAGCGCACCGTGTAGCCGACCTGAGGAAGAGGAGGCGTAAAGTCACCTTTATTTCTACAGCGCTTTATACAGTAATAAACAAGAAAATAACATCAAATAAAGCAGATGGTGTTTTTATTCAGCTCAAGTCGGTTCAGTGTTGAGTAACTGTGGAAGTTCATCGATTCTGAAACAAGTTCACTTCAGATATTAGCAGCTTTACAGAAGATACACTGGCGCTCTGGTTTGGACAGTACCATTGTGGGTAACACTTTATTTTAAGGTGCTTGTAATAAGCAGTAATTAACAGTTAATAAGACACTTATAAGACCTTATAAGACACTTATAAGACCTTATAAGATGCATATAAGATGATTACAAGCATTAACTACTTCAAATAAGGGTTAATTAAAGGTCCAGGCCCTGAAGAGATCAGGGAAACTACTTCCTCTTGGGAAGGTCAATTTTTAAGGGCCTGGGAGTTTGTGTTACCATTTATGTTTGTTCGGCTGTTCTAAAAGTGCAATGTATTGATACTTGAGAAATTTATTATTTAATTTAATTTATTTATTATCATTAGTTAATGCTTATATGCATCTTATATGCATCTTATAAGGTCTTATAAGTGTCTTATTAACTGTTAATTACTGCTTATTACAAGCACCTTAAAATAAAGTGTTACCCAATTGTGTTTATTGTAATATATTGTAAAAATGTAATTTATTCCTGTGATCAAAGCTGTATTTTCAGCATCATTACTCCAGTCTTTAGTGTCACATGATCCTTCAGAAATCACTCTAATATGATGATTTGATGCTCAGGTAACATACACTACCGTTCAAAAGTTTGGGGTCGGTACGATTTTAAATACTTTTAAAAGAATTCTCTTCTGCTAACCATGGCTGCGCTTATTTGATTAAAAATACAACAAAAATCAGTTATAGTATTAAATATTATTCCAGTGTAAATCAGCTGTTTTCTGTGTGAATATATAGTAAAGTGTAATTTATTCCTGTGATCAAAGCTGAATTTTCAGCATCACCAGTGTCAGTGTCTTCAGTGTCAAATGATCCTTCACAAATCAGTATAATATGAGGATTTGATGCTCAAGAAACATTTATTATTATTATCAATGTTGAAACAGTTGTTGGTCTGTCAGTTGTACAGTTTTTTTTTGTTTTTTTTTTCAGGATTCTTTGATGAATAGGAAGTTCAAAAGAACAGCATTTGTTTGAAATAGAACCTTTTGTAACATTATAAATGTCTTTACTGTCCTTGATAAATAAAAGTATTGATTTCTTTCCTCCAAAAAATAAAAATAAAATTCTCACTGACCCCAAACTTTTGAACGGTAGTGTATATGTTCGTATCTTTGTGGAAACTGCGATACATTTCGTCCAGGATTCTTTGATGAATAGACAGTTCAAAAGAACAGCATTTATCTGAATATAAATCTTTTAAACATTATAAATGTCTTTGCTGTCACTTTAAACGATTCAATGCATAATTTTTGAATAAAAGTATTAATTGAATTTTTTTAAACTGTTTTCAACATTGATAATAATCATAAATGTTTCTTGAGCATCAAATCATCATATTAGATGATTGAAAATTCAGCTTTGATCACAGGAATAAATTACACTTTACTGTATATTCACATAGAAATTTAAGAATAATATTTCACAATTTTACTGTTTTTTACTGTATTTTTCAGTAGAAGAGACTTCATTAAAAAACATCTTAATTTTTCAAGCTTTTGACTGCCAGTGTAAAAGTGTCATTATTAATTAAGGATGATGCAAATAGAGAACGTGGACCTTAATTGAAAAACAAGTGAGAACGCACCAGTTTCCCGAGCTGAACTCTCTTCTCCTCGGCCACTCTTCCAGCCAGAGATATGGCAGCGACCCGGCGGGGTTGAGTGATGGCAATGATGCCCTGTCGCCCGATGCCCGCCTCATACAGGTACTGCGGGATCTGCGTGGTTTTACCCGAGCCCGTCTCACCTGCAACAGGAAAGAACCATGTGTGCACTTCTTTTGCTAAACTAGCGAGGATGGAAAAATATCTTGGCAAATACAGAAAAAATGACGACTTGAGTTTGGCCACTAGTAAATAAAAACTCATGAAGCGACTAAATAAAATCTTTTTAAATGCCAAAATGCTTTTGTATGGTTTAGGAAGTTTACATTTATATTTCTGCATTTGGCAGATGCTTTTATCCAAAGCAACATACACTGCATTGCAGGTTTACATTTTATTTTAGGTATAAAAATTAAAGTTATTTGATTGTTTATGGATTCCCTGAGAGTCAAACCCATGACTTTGGTGTTTCTCTACTGGTTGGGCTACAGGCGATATAATTAGAAACATACGTGCATTATTTATAGACAAAGTTTGTTTCAAATGAAAAACCTGCTAAATACATAAATAAAAAAATGGGGTTTTCAACATTAAGAATGCTACGATAAACTACAACTTCATATGAAACGTCCCTTCTAAACTATATTTTGGTGGAACTTTAGTAATACCATGGTACTTTGATATATACTGTGTATTGAACTATAAGAATAATTACAGCTGACGCAATACATGTCAAAAAATATATGGTATTACCATGGTACATGTATAATGCATGGTATTACTAATGGTGCATGTCCAAAGATTCATGGTATTACCATGGTACATTTCCAAAATGCATAGTAATACCACTGTGTACATGTCCAAAATCCATGGTATTGTCATGGTAGGTGTAAACAATTACATAGTATTACCATGGTACATGTCCAAAATTACATAGTATTACCATGGCACATGTACAAAATGCATAGTAATACAATGGTACATGTGCAAAATAAATGGTATTACTATGGTGCATTTCCAAAATGCATGGTATTATCATGGTACCTGTCAGAAATGCATGCGTCTATTTGGTAACGTTACATGTCCAAAATGCATGATTTTACAATGATAAGTGTACAAATTTCATGGTATTACTATACATGTCGTTATTACACATGTATAGTACTGTACATTACTATGGTACCTATCCACAACTTCATAGTATTACCATGTACATGTCTAACATGTTACCATGGTACATGTCCAAAATCATTGTATTACCAGCCCAATGTCCAAGAAGTAGTGTATTGTCACAATACATGTAAAACATACATAGCATTACCACGGTATTACCATGTTATACTTTGTGAATGTGAACACTGACAGCTATACTTAACTGTCAGCTTACAGGCACGCATGAGGTCTTACCGATGAACACAGCATTGTGCAGTTGTCGGAGTTGGTTGATCACCTGTGTCCTGCTCGGGTAAATGGGCAACTGTCTCCTCTGAGCGTCCACGCTGACGGGCGCGTGTCCCGCTCTGGGCAACAGCATGCCGGGCTTCTTATCCAGGCGGAAGAAGGGAGAGCCCGGCTTAAATCTCTTCGCCGGAGGAGGGTCGGGGTCGTGGGGCATGATCTGCAGGAGACGCGCAGCACTGTGAATCCGTCTCACTCACCGAGAAGGGCTGATAGAGAAAGAAAGAAGAAAGACGGACAGCAGACGAGTCTCGCGCTGCAGTTGTTTACATCATCCGCTCGCTCATGTGGCTCACACATTCTGGCGCGCACTGATGACGTCGCTGCGCCTCATGGCGCATATCTCACTCATTTGCATGTCTCACAACCATTTCATGTGTACATTTTCTCTAACTGTACCCAAATTAAATAATTGTGGCTTCAACTACTTAATTAAGACACAATTAACAACAAAAAAGTGTAAAATTTGTGAAACTGTATGACAATCTGTTGAGTGATACGTAACTTGTATTCCCCCTGTCTGTCTTTGCCTGTCATCCACTGCTACTTCATTGTTGTAAATGTTCAATTATCCTTATATTTGTTATTTGGTTGTTCATCAGCAAAAAAAACCCCATTCATTTTAATGTTTATATTTCTTTATCCTTAGATATGTCTCCTTATGTGGTTAAGGATCCCGATAAGATACTTTATGACTTTATTTGAAGAAAAAAAGCCGCGTTTTATAAGGCAGTTTAGTTCCAACACATAGTACGCAATGTCATGCTAATTAAATGAAAAGCGAAAAATCTGAGAAATATTGTTTTATGTTTTAAAGAATTGGATTAATGTCGCCACAGTGAAAGACATGTGTATTGACCAATCAGCGCACAGATATGCTTTCCTGCCACATTCTGATTGGATGTCCGACTTGTACTAATAGTGTGCCGCTTCCTGCAACGGTCTCTTTCTTTCACGCGTCCCTACAGTGAGGTGAGGTGTAGTGCGGCCCTCTGCTGCTTTCATAATTTTGTACGATACACGTGACCATACGAGTTGTAAATATATCATAACTGTGTTAAGATTCACGAGGAGATATAATTCTTACTCGATATGTGTGTAATAATAGTCGTTTGAGGAAAAAGTTAGCATTAGCCTGTTAGCTTAGGCCTTTGCGCCACGTGAGATAAGACGTGAAACGTTTTTATGCTTATTTTCTTGTTGTAGATTGTTTCTTGTTTCGATTATAGAGGTGGATAATGCTTTATATATATATAATATATATATATAATATATATATATATATACCGTACATAGTGTGTATGTATATACATATATTATATGTATATACATAGTGTGTATGTATATACATATAATATATACTCGCGCACTCAAAATTAACTACAGCAGGTCATCTACAGATCAGCTGTGTCAGTGCTGATTGGTCGTTCCCCCTGCTGAAATAAAACTGGTTCCTACTATCCCTGTCTGTCTGTTTCCCACGACTTGCAGGGACGCTTGGTCTCAGACATTCTTTTATGAAATTAAGGCCAATAGATTAAATAATAGTGCTTTAATTGTAGCAAATTTAAGGGTTAATGTTTCCTAGTATAACTTTTGATTTTGGGTTGATTTAAATTTTCAGATTTAACCAGCTGTATTTTAGCACTTAAGCTTTATACAAATACAACGTTGTCTAAATGGTTTTAATTGACTGTTTCTCAGATTTTTCAACCTTGTCTTTAAACCGGCTGTTCACCGATCCTTGGAAGCACTGCAAAGATGCCCAGGGAAGACAGGGCCACGTGGAAGTCCAACTATTTTCTGAAAATCATCGTAAGTTATCAGCGTTTTATGGCATGACCTACAGCAGGTCATCTACAGATCAGCTGTGTCAGTGCTGATTGGTCGTTCCCCCTGCTGAAATAAAACTGTTTCCTACTATCCCTGAGGGTTTGCATCCCACAGCTCACAGGGACGCTTGGTTTCAGACATGTTTTAATCGTGACCCACCCCCCCCCCCCATCGGGTTGAGTAGTGTCTGATAGTCTTTCTCCATGTGTGCAGCAACTGCTGGATGACTTCCCGAAGTGCTTCATCGTGGGCGCAGACAATGTCGGCTCCAAGCAGATGCAGACCATCCGTCTGTCCCTGCGGGGCAAGGCTGTCGTGCTCATGGGCAAAAACACCATGATGCGCAAGGCCATCCGTGGCCACCTGGAGAACAACCCGGCTCTGGAGAGGTGCGTGTCAGTCTGGGCACAAGGATGATCCACGGTAGAAAATTAAGGGCTTTTAAAGTTGTGGGGCCTTATTTATAAAGCATGCATATGACAGGATTTGACTCTAAATCCCATGGATTTTATCCTCCATTAAAAGTGAGGAACAAATCTAGATTTATAATGTTATGCACAAGGCAACTGAACTTTCCTGATGATTAAACTGATGTAAAGAGAAAATAACAGCCCCCTCTTAAGCACATTTATTACCAATGTTTTGGTGCTAAATGTTGGTAATGATATAAGACAAGTGCGAACTCTTAAGCACAAGTTATTCCCTTTAACGTGCACCTCATAATGCCTTGCTGTTCTTTTGAGGAATTAAACAAACTGAGCCATGGGTTATGCACGTTTTCTGTGTGCTTTTATTTCCTTGCCCATTGAGTCTGAACCGTAAGATAAACTAATACTTTTTATTTATGTGCCTTTTCAAGGTCACCTTTCAGCATAAGATCAAATGCATAAAATCAAAAAATAATATCCAAAGCTATTCTAAACTACCATTTATAAAGATGCATTTAAGAACTTTTTTTGTACATGTCAATTATATATATTTTTTTAATCATTCATAAGGAGACTTTGGAAATGTTTTGTCGTACATTCACATTTCGGATCATCTTATGCATGTCTTTATAAATGAGGCCCCATGTTTTCAGAGTTTGTAAAAATCTAGTCACAAATATTTTGATCTAGAAATTGTGGTTTCTAATCTGCAATCTCTATTTAATGATAAATCCCCTTTAATATTGATGCAGATTTGAAACTTTTAGTGCATAATTAATACAGTACTGATGAATACGGGTATGCAGGTCTAGTTACGGACTGGCTGTGTCAGTGCCTGTTTGTCGTTCCCCCTGCACAAATCAACATGTTTCCTACTATCCCTGAGTGTCTGCATCCCACGGCTCACAGGGACGCTTGGTTTCAGACATTCTGTGTTCGCTGCATGTATTTGGGGTTTTAAATGGGGTTCAGTATTAATTATTCCTGTGTTTTTGCAGGCTGCTTCCCCACATCCGTGGGAATGTCGGCTTCGTCTTCACAAAGGAGGATTTGCCTGAGGTCAGGGACCTGCTTCTGCAAAACAAAGTGAGTATGACTGTTGAGCGACAGCGTTCAGGGCTTGAATGTGTCTCTTCTGGTGTAACTCTTGTGATCTCTGGTCTTAGGTGCCCGCTCAAGCCCGTGCCGGTGCCATCGCCCCCTGTGAGGTCACCGTCCCGGCCCAGAACACCGGTCTCGGTCCTGAGAAGACCTCCTTCTTCCAGGCTTTGGGAATCACCACCAAGATCTCCAGAGGAACCATTGAAATCTTGGTGAGTTTGATTTTGCTTTCCAATAATTATGGAAACTAGATAATTAAGAGTTATTGTTCTGTATTCTATTTTGCAATCATCAATAATGTTGGCATCAATCACACCCCATTTCAGCACTTTTGTGGTGTTTTAGAGGGGCCAAAACTCGATGCTGGGTTTTTTTTTTTTTTTTTTTACTAGTTTCCAGTTGCTTGTGTAAGTGCACTAAAGTTAAAACAAATTTATATATAGACGCACTATAAAAATATAAAGAACAACCATGTTAAGTAAATATACTATTAAAAGTTTTTTTTTTTCAGAGGAAATTAAATTCATGTGTCCAAATATACTGAGCAATCATGTTTAATAATTGAACTTATTTTCATGTAATCAGTAGTGTAAAGTAGGGATGCTGGATTATGGCTAATCTTATTCCAGATTATTTAACACCATTATTGGTGGGTGATGCGATCAGTTTTTCACGATAGGAGTAACTTTAAATATCTGAAATTTCACAATTATCGATACTTCAGCAAAAACTAATACTAGCTTAACTAATGTAAAGAAAAGGTCCTCAAAATTACACGACAAGCAAACCATCCGCAATGCAATTAATGCAAAGTAATTACAAATAAAATGAACAAATAAATACAACAGAACGAATTTACAAATTACATAAGCAGTGTTAAGTTTCAGGAAGATGTACTAAAAGTGTTAAGTCTACAAAAAAATCTAATGTGAAATAACACTGCATAGTCTTGCTTGTGCACAATAAATATTATTTTAATCTCTATTAAAGTTATTCAGTCAAGATCACTTTCTTTTTTATCTCATCACATGTTTATCATTGAATGACTGCAGCCAGTGTATTAGGCTGCTGTCACTTGATTTTCTTCTATTAATATTGCACATGAACTGACCTCTTCCGCCCGCAGAGCGACGTTCAACTGATCAAACCTGGAGACAAGGTGGGCGCCAGTGAGGCCACGCTGCTCAACATGCTGAACATCTCGCCCTTCTCCTACGGGCTGATCATCCAGCAGGTGTATGATAACGGCAGCGTCTACAGCCCAGAGGTGCTGGACATCACTGAAGATGCCCTGCACAAGAGGTTCCTGGAGGTTCGTGCACTTAAACTACCATTATTGAGTGTAAACATGCAGGTCTAGTTACGGACTGGCTGTGTCAGTGCCTGTTTGTCGTTCCCCCTGCACAAATCAACATGTTTCCTACTATCCCTGAGTGTCAGCATCCCACGGCTCACAGGGACGCTTGGTTTCAGACATTTCATTTTTTAATAGGGTTGCACCCCATCCTTCAGGTTTGGATAACACTGCCTATAACTTGTTCACTGTTTTCCTTTCAGGGTGTGAGGAACATCGCCAGTGTGTGTCTGCAGATCGGGTACCCCACGCTCGCCTCCATCCCTCACTCCATCATCAATACTTACAAGAGGGTCCTGGCTGTCGCTGTGGAGACTGACTACTCCTTCCCCATGGCTGAGAAGGTACGACTCGGTTCTTTTTACGTATCTTTTTTTTCTTTTTCTCAAAGACAGCAATTTCACCTGATTATTTTAATAGCTCTATTTGTAAAGAATGAATCATTCTAGGATGATTTGGGGTCATTTTGTAGGGTAGTGCATCTGCATAGAAAAAAAAATTACAAGCATAGATGAATACAATAGAACAAAGATACAGATGAAATAATCAGTTCTTTGTTTTCAGGTAAATTTAACTCTTCCAGTACAGACGTAAAATAACACCGCGTAGTCTTCGCTGTATAAATTGATTCATATAATTAATATGAATTCACTTTTACAAGGTCTGAACAACTTCTCAAGGTCACTTTGCAGCATAAGATCAAATCAAACTATCACAAAGCTATTGTAAACAAATTTATAAAAATTCATTCAGGATTTTTTTTTTTTATCCTTACTAGGGACATTTTGGAAACGTTTTGTCGTACATTCACATTTCGGATCATCTTATGCACGTTTTTATAAATGAGGCCCCAGGTTTTCAGAGTTTCTGAAGTCTGTATAAAATCTAGTCACAAACATTTTGTTCACTAGAAATAGCTGTTTCTAATCTCTGATAAATCACATTTAATAATGATGTAAATTTTCAAGCAGATTTTAAACATTTAGTCGTTCGCGCAGCGTGATTAATACAGTACTGATGAATACGGGTGTGCAGGTCTAGTTACGGACTGGCTGTGTCAGTGCCTGTTTGTCGTTCCCCCTGCACAAATCAACATGTTTCCTACTATCCCTGAGTGTCTGCATCCCACGGCTCACAGGGACGCTTGGTCTCAGACATTCTGTGTTCGCTGCATGTATTTGGGGTTCAGTTAATTATTCCCATTTTAAATATGCAGGCTGCTTCCCTTCTGCTCTTTTTGTTTGATTAACTTTGCTCTGGGTATATTGGGCTGCTGTCACTTTAAGACGAATGCACTATCCAACGCCGGAAACATATACTTTGTTTATAACTCCTAACCAAATGGGTTTACAAGGAAACTCGTTGAGACAGGCATTTTGACTTCATTTGAGCGTGGATGGACATGTGCACAGAACATTGTGTTAATTCAGTGTTCACAAACTTAACGTGGTTCAGCGTATGCAAAACAGCGCGCGAGTTTGTCGTCTTGCAATTTATTTGAAGCGCCAGGACTAAAAGCATGTAAATGATAAACTCTCAGTCTATGATGGTTAAACTTTGCAATTAATCTGCGAGTCACATAGCCTGGCATGCCAGACCTACATCAAGATGTTAGGTCTGGGAACTCTCCATTGACATAGCAGCTACCTCAATCCGAGGGGCGGGATAAACGGTTACCTTTCAAAATCCCTCTGCACGCAATAGGATAGCGCTACAACCAACCAGAGCAATGAACGGCTGTGGCTGAGTGAGTCCCATGCGTTTTTCCACCAGCGGAGCTAATTGATATATTAAACTTTTGCCGTATCAGGTCGGTAAAACTCCGATCACATCTTCCTTTTTTTAAGAATGACTTAAGTGGCGTTCTTTTAACTCCAAGTCCTCCAGAGTCGCGGCCAAAGCCGATTCGAAAGACCGCTGCATCTTCATTGTTTTCAAGTAGGGCTGCAACAAACGATTATTTTGATAATCGATTAATCTAACGATTATTAGAACGATTAATCGACTAATCGTCGATTATTTCGCAGACTAATCAGTAAGTTTGGAACGATTATTCAGCTTTTCCAATTAGTTAAAACATTGAGTTATACATATTCTAACTATAATATAAAAAAAGAAAATCACTTCAGCTTTTGAAATAGTTGTTTTAATGAACTTTGAGCCAACTAAACAGGTCATTCTCTTTAAGCTTTCAGATTTCGGTCCAACTCAAATCACACACAAATGCTCTCTAAGCATTGTTTAATAGGCCCACTGCTTTTCTTAGAACTGAAACAGAAAAAGGGACATTTACTTCAGGACACAAAAAATGGTAAAATATTAATCTGCAAACAATTATTATAAGTATAAAATTACAATCTTTTTTACATGAGCTGACAGAGACGTTCTCATTCACCTTTTAATTTATAGTATGATAAAGTAACTGTCATGATATTCTTCCTATATCATAGGAAGGATATAACATCTCGTTTTGTAAGTCTTCATGATTATTGAACAAAATACAGACAAGTGATAAGACTATAATAATACCTAATATACTAATAGTGTTACAATAATAAAAACAGCCCTGACTCCTAAGCTCGATCAAGCTTTATTCTATGCAAAATAAGTCATCACATTACTGTAATTATATTACTATTGATAATATTATTACTATTATTAGTAGTATTGCATTCTCTAATAAAGAGAGATTTACCGCTGGTTAGTTAGCTCCAGCTGGAGAACACTCACTTCTCACCGGCTCCTCTTTTGCCGGGATGTTTCCTCTTGCACTCCAACATGCATGTTGTGCTTTTTCACGGGAGAAAAGCAAGTTCCGCCTTGCATGTATTGCACACGACAGCATTCTTGATTTGAAGTTTTGTGAAACTTTCCCAAACCTAAACCTTGCTAGTTCGGATTCGTTTGCACTGTCATAATTCGCGCTGTGTTTTCTCCTACCGCAATAGCATTTGTAAGGGCTGCACTACACTCTAGCGCTACAGCGCCGTAGCGGTCAAATCGCGATATTGCAGGTCCTTACATTAGGTCACGTGAGATCAAACGACTACTCGACAACAAAGATATTTGTCGACAAATTTTTATTGTCGACGTTGTCGACAACGTCGACTAATCGTTGCAGCCCTATTTTCAAGTAGCAGGGAAATCACCCATGGAAATCACGCGGAACGTCATGAACTGTGCCGTCATTGTGTTAAGCCCGCCCGCCGACTCTATACACGATGTGATTGGCCTGACCAGTTTTTGGTTTTTCCACCTCAAAAGCCTATGGAGAGTTGCTAGACCACACTGGCTGCGAAATAATTTTCGCTGCCGCTAGGGTGCGTCTAGATTTCTAGGCTACGAGTCACATGCATTCAGAACCGGGGGGGGGGGGCAGCTGGTCCATACGGATCCACTGCGATGACTATCGCGGATGCGCATATCGTGATATCGATGCTAAAACGATACATCATGCAGCCTTAATCCTAAGATGTATTTCTGCCTTAATTGGCACTAAAAGCTTGTCTTAAACAAGTCTACAGTCACCAAACTTGGTACACATTCAGATTAGGTCTGTCGCCGTGAAAGAATTTCCCTTGCAGTAATTGAGGGCGTCAGTAGCGTGGCTACTTATCGCCTTATTTTTTTTTTTTTTTTTTTTGCTAAAGAGTTACGATGTGGTCACCATGCACAAAACCCGAGGACATTTTCAATGTAACCGAAACTAAAACGCATCGAAAGGCTGTCACTCAGCGCATTGTTACGGCAACGAACTGTCTTTGAGTGAGTCTTTAAACCGAACGCGTTCAAAAACGCTGATTCATTAAAAGGTAGATGTATGTAAGGAGAATTATTTTTTTACTTTGAGCTCCACTTTTCAAGGCTCAGCTGACCAGCAATGTGTTGCATGGGTAACGCTGAAGCTGATGCTTCACTTAATCGAGACCAATGGCAATTATAAAGTTGATACCCGCAATCTTGCTACATGTTCTAACAATGGTCTCTAGTCGGTTTTTGTTCTTTGTTTTATCTGTTGGTTTTGGGTCCTTGTCTACAAAGTTAAAATGGACTCAAGAAAACGAGAATAAAACATTTTCATGTGGAGTCAATGTTAAAATTCTTCAATCTACGGTAAAAATACATTCGCTGCTGGGCTTTACCACAAACCGCATCAGTGTGAGAATCAAAACATGGCGTACTGTCTATTGTTGTGGCAAGGTACTTGTATTCTATTGCTAAAACGTGTTACAAAGACTGAAGTACTGAATGGTGGAGTTAGACCCTTAAACAGTTTTTCACCATTGATATTTTCCGGATTTTTTGGGCGGGGCTTAAACGGGGCTCGATGACGTACTGGAGCCCCTGAGCTCGAGGACACGCCCCTTGATGACGTACTGGAGCCCCTGAGCTCGAGGACACGCCCCTTGATGACGCACTGGAGCTCCTGGACACACCCCTTGATCAGTTTGGCGCTCAATTGCGAGTTACTGTCAGTACTATTAGTTACTACAGCCTACAGTTTGCTAGCTAGCTATGCCTTCGACATGGAAATGCGTAGGCTACCTCCTGGATGCGATCATGTACAAAACAGATCGGTGTCTTTATTTAAATTTCCTAAAAACGCTCACATCAAGAAGAGGTGGATTAATTTTGTGAAGAGCCAACCTTGATGAAGAGCTGAGGATCACCGCCAACACCCGCCTCTAGCGATCATTTTATATACTTTCGTCGGAGACAACTGAGATTCACTGATGATCCGCTGTTACTGGTGAATGGGGCTGAACCGACTATGTCTTCATCTCCCCGTCCCGAAAGCAGTTTCACCTAAGATCACCGTCGGCAGCTTTCCCGCGAGTGGGCGTGGTTTCAGCGCCCGTGGTTTCAGCGCCCGGACACGCCCCCAGCGTTTGAGAGCAGAGAATAATGCTACTTTTTTTCAAGATTTTGATGGCTTATTTTATGTATTTGCTGGCTTTTTTTATCATTCAAATTTGTCTGGGTGGCTAATAACACATTTTTCTGTGGTGTGACAAACTCAGAACACATACTTAATTTTGACTTTACAGGGACTTTAAGTACTACTCGTAAGGGATGACTTTTAATGTGTTTTGTTTTGTTTTTTCTCAGGTGAAGGCCTTCCT